GGATTTCAGCGAGTGGTAAGAATCAAAGTCAAGTCAAAGATACTCATGACTGTCCATATGAAAAGCTTCTGACAGTCCAATCAATCCCAGTCCCAAACAGTTAAAGAGAAGACTCTTGATTACATTCTCTGGAGAGACAGGAAAAAGGCAGAACCAGACCCTACCACCTCGCCTCCAAAGCCCTGAGCATGCCTCAGCCATTATTCACTTACGCTGCCTCTCCTAAAATCATTCTTCCCAGTCACTTCTCTCCCACAAGATGACACCACAAGACTTAGAAGAAGGAAGCAGGCTTAGGCACCAAGTGGCCAAAGTAGGAGTTCCCATTCTAAAGCTTCAGCACTTGCCTCTGAATGACTGTGGGGCAGGTGAGCACCTATCATACCTGGGCTCATTTCCAGAAGCAGAGAAAAAAAGCTTGGGAAGAAAGAAGGCAAGGACTGAATTAGCTTGCTTTTTTTTTTTTTTTTTACAGTCCAAAGGCTGTCTTATTAATAAGTATTTCACAGCCCAGTTAAAGACTTCTTTAAAAATAATAAATTCCCATTGTAATTAAATATTCACGTTCTCATTGTATTTCTCAGACTTGTGTATATCTACACATAAGTATACATATTACATATATTTATATATACATACTTTTCTGCAACAAGCCAGTTAGCCTTCCTAGTCCATTTGTCAGAAAGGACAGTTCTGAATGTGGATTTTGTACAAAAAGCATCATTCCCTAACCAAGAATCTCTGCATTGTTATCTTGATCAATTCATAGTTCTACCTTATAGCCTGAAAACCTTTCCAATTGTTCATTATTTCCCTTTCCCTGAATTTCCAACCATTGTTGATCATCTCTAGGATTTTACTATCTTAGTGCTTTCCAGTCTCTACTATCATGCAACCAATTTGTGAAGTTATGAATACCAAGTTAGAGCAAGCAGGGGAAAAACGCAACACGGGCAACGAGAGTAATGTTCATGAGAGAGAAACATGTACATAGCAAAGAAGTAACTATCACGTTGGATGACATGAGTGAATGCAGTAATAGCAACACATTTGTGATTATTCATTAGGGAATGCCAGGGCACAAATCAAGTACTTTGAAATGGTGCTTACAGAATAACAAACTTAATTTAGAGCAAGATAGAACTATTTATCATCTTCTTGCTGTAAATCAGGTTTTGAAGCAAATGAGCTTATTAGACTAAGACTGAAGACGTCAAGATTGCAAGTTAATGTTATCACACTGGACGTTAAGTAAATAGAACACTAGGAAACCAAAACCACATGGAAGTCAATCGATGCCAAACAGAAAATAGCTAATAATGGCAACAGAACAGAATACTGTCAAATTCAGAAGCTAAAAAACATAAATTGGAAAAAGTGAAAAAGAAATACACATTCGTGAAATAGTATCAGTGAACAGATTAGGAGAAAGATGATATGAGGAGAACTCTATGAGCTACAGGTGTATTTGAAAAACGAGTATCTGCAAGGCAAAGTATTTTGGTATCAATGAAAATGTGAACAACTGTTGATGTTATGGTATATGGATCTCAATGCCAGAATATTAAAAAATCTGATTAAAAAAATAGCAGATATGAGCTAGCCGAGAGGAACATTAAATGATTCAGAAATGCAAAACAAAGACATCGTGACAACAAGAAATCTTGTTTCATTGTTGCTGAACAATCTTTTCTAGAAGATCGTCATTCCCCTTTCAACTTTCTTCACAGACTCCAAAGGAGTCTCTTTTCCCTGTCTTTCTCTTCTTTATACCTCAGTTATAGATGATCCAATTTACAAAAAAAGAAATCAACTTTTCTACAAACTTTAGGTTCACAAGTCAGATTTTTTTTCTTCATACATTATTATGTTTTTGTGACCAAACTACGATCTCAGTAGATCTGACACCTCCATGTGGGTGTTTAGCCATCCGCTTAAGTTCAGCATCGACCAAACACAACTCGCCATCCTAAACCCTTTTCTCCATCTCTAGAAAATATCATTTTCTGCCATCATACCCATCACTGCAGTGTTACTTTTCATTCAGGCAGATGTGAAAATGTTACCTGCATAGCAGTTGCAAGATTCATCCTCCTCCCTCTGTGCACAGAACTGATGCTCCTGTTCAGTTCATCCTTATCACTGTGTTCTGACTATTCCTCCACCTCCAGCCTTGGCATGTTCCATCTCAATTCACCAAATTCCTTTTAGAAATATAACACCAAAGATCACTTTTGTAGGATGTTCCAAAGACATGACCATTTTTCTGTTTATCCACTTACCTTACCCCCCACACTCCCTAGACAACACTCTGCTTGTCTTCACCTTCAAAGCCTTTTTTGGTTTATTTCTGTCTTCGTCTTAAATCAAAATATTAACCTTCATTTCACATATTGCTCAGATTTTTCAAAATTCCTTTGTAATCTCACTCAAAATGCCTGTTATGCATAGAAAAGCATAGTTTTTATTCAAAATTCCTCTTGATGTTTCTGTTGAGAACAGTGATTTGACAAGTAGTTTGCTATATTATTTTACAACTCTGACCAGTAACGTGCCATTATTTCTTTGCTGTCTTGTTCAAGTGATGCCTACATTTTTAGAATGGCCACAGTAGAGGCTTCACTGACTTAAGTACTACTGTAATACAAATAATATATAAGGGAAAAATATTAAATCCAATACACATAGAAATGGTTCTAAATCAGTGACCACAACAAAGCTGAATTACATATATTTACACACATGCATACATACAATGATCAAGTCATGCCAAAATGAAATTGTTATGTACAGCAACTTTTGTATTTTAGACACTCCATTACTACATACAATGAAATTCAAATAAAGTGAAAGGCATTTGTAGGTGTGCTTTAACTACTACTCTAGCTGTATCTTCAGCAGCACTATTGCAGCATTTTCCAGTACATGTCACATTGTAACAAAGCACCCTCAAGCATAGCTGGAACACTAGTCAATGTCTATGTGCACGGCAAGTGTCTCTAAGTGCAGGACAGTAACAGGAAACCTAGAGACAGAGAAACAATGGATGGGAGGATGCCACCAAGTATGTACTGCACAAGAATACAGAATCAAAACTCATTCTTCTCTCTCAAAAAATACACACATTTAATGTTGGTCTTTTAATTCTAAGAAAAAAGCAATTCCAAAAATACAAACTGAACATCAGAGTCAAGTCAACCACCATAAAATGAAATGACATTCACAATAGTTAAGTCTATGGACAGTTTGACAAATATTTTTTCTCCCCCCCCGACTAAAGTCCCCAAGTACATTCCAATACTTATCTTTAAATGAAACTTTACGAAAAGTACTGCTGGTGTTCAGTTAGAATTAAAGGACTTGGATAAAGTAAAACAATAAAGACAGTTACAGATGGTGTGAGTAAGGTTACAAAGGCTTTACATTTTGCATTGTCCCAAGATATAAACATTCAAAAATTAACATGAAGTTGCTGTGTTATCAAAATATTGCAGCTATAGGCAAGGCAACATTAACTTAATAGCTGAGGGTGTGAGAAAAAACCCACACATTTTAGTGAAGGTAAACAGAAGTGGCAGGTTTTAATTAGCATTTTTATAAAGCTAGTATTACCTGGCCAGCCATAAACCAAGCACAGGATAAAAAGCTTTCTCTGCTTCCTTTGGTTATAAGGTGATGGGAGCAGGGGCACAAAACAAAAAAGAAAAAAAAAAAAAAAAAAAGAGAAACCCACAAACCCACACCACCTTTTCAAGATGTTCAAGACAAGCAGAAAAAGTCAAATAATCAAGCAATGGAATAAATAAGTAATAACCCAGGTAGTACACTTTACTGTCATTTGTAAAATGTTACATAATTTTATTTTGGTGGTAAACTGCAAGCATGTAAGAAAACTAACCTTATGCAGTACAGGGAATAACCACCGAAGTAAAACTATTCTTCTGTTTACTCTTTGGCTAAAACTCCCTCAAAAGTAGCAGACAAAGAAAAAACATCTAATACTGGCAAGAGATTTTTTTTTTTTACTTTTTTTTTAAAAACAAGTAAAATAAACTTATAAATTTAAAACTTGGTACATTTTATAAAAACAAAAGAGGTAATGTTGTAATAAAATCAGTAATGTTACTTCAAATGGCAACAAACTGTTTGTTGACCCTGTGCAATAATATACTTTGTTCATACTACATTTATCAAAATATGACTGTTTCTACAGATACATAGGAATCTTGTGTGTGACTCCTGTCAACTTAGTTAATAACTGGGACACAAAATTTACAATCAGAGTGCCACAATAACTTTCAAATCGTTATTTCTAGAAGAGTTAATTTCAAAATGTTTGGATCCTGCATTATTTTTAACAGTTAATTCACATGGAAAATAATTCGATGTATTACCTAGAGCGAGCATATGAACATCAATGACTGCACCCATTGCCAGAACACGCTGCACTGGTTTGACACTTTTCCTTAGTACATAGAAAGCAACAGCACCCAATAAGCCTGAGAAGAAATGCTGCTGTGTAAATACTGGCAACTATTCCTGAAAAAAGAATTATGGGATGTATTCTCAGAAGCTGCCCAATCCCATAATTTGTATTGCATAGGTCACAATCACACATATATATACACGCACAAGTATGTGTGTGCATATATACGTATGTATATACACACACACATGCACACACGCACACACACAAAGAATATATTAAGACAACAATGAAGTCTGGTCACAGAGCAATTTACAGGCTCAATATATTTCTTTTTTTTTTTTTACACTGTTTGAAAGAAAACTTCAGTATTTTACAGTCTTCAGTAGGCATTATATACACTGCACTTATGAAATCTAGAAAGTATTGAAATAGAAATACATTTCTGCAAACATTTGGGTAAGAAAACAAACCAAAATTTTTCAAAGATTTGTGCTATCTACATAGTATTTTCTCTAAATCACAATAACTGTATCCATGGAATGTTCTCTAGAAAATGTCTTTTTTTTTTTAAAAACACCATGCACATTTTTAAGCAATTGTAACCCAAAATATCCCAACCTAAAACAATCTAACAATGTTCAGATTAAAAAAATTTAAGTTTCAGATCAGATTTTAAAAAGATAAGTCTTTATCACAAGAGCTGTAATGATAACAATTACACATTAAGGCTAAGCTGGTTTTGTTTTGTTTTTAGAAACACATTTAAAAACACGTTTCTCTCGTGGCTCTGCATTATGAACTGTACTTACAGATGACAGTGCAGTGAACATAATGTTCAGTCCTACAGTCAAGATGCAGTTGCTCCTTCCCACTCCACAAGATACTGCACCTTTCCATCAAGTGTCACCCGACGAGCCAAAACACGGTATTTTTCCCCACAAGCTATTCTACCTGCTGCACCAAAATAACTAGTAATTGAGTTCTTTAGATGATTGAGCTGTAACTCCTGATCTGCTAAGTTGTTAAGTATCTCTGTATTGAGTTCATCATACTGGTAATCTTCCTTGCTCTCATCATCTTTTACAATTTCTGAATTTTGAGTCTGGAGTGCTTTTCGTGGAAAGCGACCTCTTCTTCTCAAATGTGGTATTGCAGCAGGCCAAGTTCTTCCTGTACGAGTCCTTTTTCTCGAGTCAGATAAACTATTAAAAAAAAAGCAGCATTAATTTCAAGGAACTTATTAAAAATGTATGCTTTATCATCAGTTATTTCCATGCAACTCATAACTTCTTTGTTCTGTTTTTCACTGATAAAAATACTTGTTGCATACAGACAGATGACTATAAATACAGCACTTGCAAAATAAAGATTATTTACATAAGGAAAAATGTACTAATTTAACAAAATGTCAGAAAGGTTAGCCAAACAATATTAACTTATTCCTAGATATATTAAGAGTACTATTTTAATACAGCTTAATCCCACTGTTAAGCAAATTTTAAAAAACCCTGTCTTCAGAGAAGTCTGCACCAAACGTGCTTAAATTTTCAAATTAAAAATGCAACTTTTTGACACAGGTAGGCCTCAATTACAAAAGTTATACTATAAAAGAGTTTGAGACTTGATGTTAGTTAAGACTGTAAATAAAAATGAATTTACGCATACGGTTTTTTTCAAGCTGAATTTATCTCAATAAATTAAAACTCTGAAATATGCAATAAGATATTGTAAAATCTATTCTACGTCACTACTGTCTATAGTACACATGACTTTCTAAAGACTTACTATACACGGCCAGAAAAATATGTATATCCAAAATTCACACAAATTTTTATCTGGCAATGAAAAAAGAAGCTTCTGACGTTATCTAAGAACAAACCATCATCCAAGTATTAAAATTGTCTAAGCTATAAATCCTTATGTAAAGAACCTGTATCTATAATTTGCACATCCTAAAACATGTTTGATGAAGTCCTAAATTTTGTATGCAAACTTTAATGTTCCAGACTCCTATGTAACATCTTTTTAACATTAAAAACAAGTATGGAATAAAGGGCAGAAATACAAAACAGTGACTTAAGTCCTTAGGTAACAATTTCAGAAGTTAAACATGAGTTTTTGAAGACAGACTATTTGTAGCAGTAATGCACACAATTACTTATGAAAGCACTCGATAGCATGAACCAGAAAGAAAGGAGACAAAATAAGTAGACTGAGGATCCATGTACCTCAATAGAAGAGAAATTTATGTTTGTTGAACTTGAGAGAGAGAAAAGTTCAAGTAATAATTTATTTGCAGAAAAGTCAATTGTGGTTAATAATTTATTTATGAAGACTAGGCCAAAAATTTTTCATGCTCTATTGACTGTAGAAAAATCACAGCATACGTACTATTCTTTAATATGAATACACAAACCTACAAAAACAAAAGCTGCTAAAATTAATTCAGGGTACACATCAGCTTTTTTATGGCCTTTATTAGAAAACTAAGCTCAAGAAGTGTTTAATGGAGTTTAATGCTTTTCAGTAAATGTAATTTAACTACATATTTTACATCAAAGAACAGTAGTTAGCGAGCACAAAAAAAACCTCACCCTGTGTGTTGTGAGCAGAACTAATAAAGACTACCTTTCTTTTGTCCTATTTCTTTAGATTTCCCCATGCAATTTATAGCTCTGCTCCTAGTCTTAGTTGCTTATTACCCCAAATCCTAGTGAATTACAACATCCTCAATGTTACACCCCTTTGCAATATCCTCAGTTCTTCCCTATTTATTCTCCCACCAGTTCTGCAATACCCTTACATCTATTTCACATCCACTACGGCTGCCTCATACCTTAAAACAACCTCCTACCTTATCTTTTAGCCTTTGTTTTGCCAAAGCTTCAACAAAAAAAAACAAACAAACAACAAAATAGCACTAGCAATGACTAGGCCGCAGATGATTAGAAAATTGTCTGCCTTTCTGTAAGCGTGGGGTGCTGGTTTGGGTCTGTCCAATCCAAGTGTTTATCTTCATGAATCTTGTTAGACTGTAATTTTTTTTGAACTACCTCGATCAGATTTCATGGAAGTTAGCCAAAGAGTTCAGAATTGACTGGAAGTACAACAGAACCTCAGGTTTTAAGAAACAATTACATGTCATGCTTTGGCAAGATATCTCCTGCAGGATCTCTGCAACTATTTATTAAGGATGAAGTATTGAAGTTTTCTGCCCCCCTCCCCCCCCAAAAAAATTTTATTACAATAAATATATTGCAAATCTTAATCTTTACCTATAATGTCTGGAAATGCTAGATGAGGTAGTTTCTTTCATACTGGCAGCACCTGTGGATTCCACATCTGAGGTATTAGATGAATGTGCAGTTCCATCAGATTTCCTGATATGCAAGATAACAGGGTTGCCATGTAACGAAAATAATCTTGTATTAAAAACTGAGCTGACATTTCAGAAGTAAACAGATAACAGATAAATGGCATAGTATTGTAATGTTTTACAGGGGTTTGTTGTTTTTTGGGGTTTTTTTAAATCCCCTTTTTTTTTTTTTTAATTTACCCAACAGTGCAGGGCAACTCCAAGGCTGGGTTCTCTATCACTGGAACTGGTTCATTATCCTAAGGAGGGGAGAAAAAGAAAAAAAAGTTCTTCAAATTAAGTTCTAATTAATGTATCGATTTTGTTTGAGGGTGAATGGGGGAATATAATGATTCAGATTAACTGGGTATGTTTTTCTTCAAAAATGATAATCCAGTTAGA